AAAAGATGCGAGACCTTTGCAGAACTTTGTTTGGTTTTTTTGCGATTTTCGTCAATTTCCTGTGGAAACCCAGCAAATTGGGCACACATTCTCTTAATGGTCAAGAGAGTGCTACGGAACCGCTGCGAATTCTGCTTTTCCTGCGGAAGTTCCGGCGAATCGTCTGTGTAAGAGTCTTTTACCTCTAAATCAGAAATTATTAGAGAGCAACGAGGTATCAAATCGCTTCTGGATGCATAGAACACGACAGCAATTTCTTTCCATTTATAGCGTTCAAAAAGGCGGGTAAGAGTCCGTGCTTGACTGGAAAACAATAATTTTTCTAAAATTTTTCCTGAAAAAAAGATTCTCAAAATACTTGATTGAACTCCAAGTCGATGATAAAACCGTTGGGTATTCGTCATTGTTTAGCAGTGCTGACGTAAACATGCTAGCCCACACAACAATGGGGAAATTGTAATGTTTTGCCACTATTCCAGATACCAGTGCTGCTGAAATAACTGAATTCATCAATGGACAAAATTACTCCAAAGTACGCACATGCGGAGCAAGCAGGCCCTAAGACGACATCGACACCGTTATCAATCCAATCTATCACCGAGCCAGCATCTGCGGGTTCGTAGCAGTCTGCCATCACCCAAGTCAGGCTAAAAAGGCGTATTAAAAAGTACGAATAGAGCAAATTTTTGATCTAGTACTTAATCAAAGTCAAGGGGAAATTTCTTGGATTTTTTGGACAAGTGGTCCTTTTGCTAGGGTAGCCATTTATGTCAGCTTCGAGTTTTTTTGAAAATAAAATCCACTTTACAAGACTCACTTCAAGGTATAGCCTGGTAAAATCTGATCGTCCTCAATTTTATCCCAAGCTACACCAACAGCTCCAGCGGTTTGCCTCCAGCCAATATACTGAAAAAGTTTCTACGTTACTTTGCTATCTTCTAGAAAATGATTTTTTTAGCCAACGAAAATTGAAAACACGCTTAATCACCTCTGCTCTACTAAGAATTTCATCTTTCTAGACTTATATTAAAAACTTTGATTTTACATCCTTTTTTTCGTAAAAGCTTAACTTACGTTTGTGAGACTGGTGTTATTGAAAGCACTGAGCAGACCAACGTTCAGAACCTGAAACTAAAAAATTATTATGTAAACTAACAATTGTAAATGATGCACAAAAACAAACTACAGTACCATCCCTCCTCTTGGGATAAAAACGGATTAAAGACAAATTTTATCCATTGTGGTACATTGCGAGTTCAACATTCTTTCACGAATACA